TAATAGTAACAGATCTAAAAGGTACTTGAGTAAAACATTGAAAAATATACTAGATTACCATCTTGATCATGATCATGAAATAATAAGGCCGAAACATGAGTGGCTTGTCAAAAGAAAATAGCGATAAGATTGATAAAAGCTTTAATATTCATTATTGCATGTTGTCTTCCATTTTTGTTGGTAGAAAGTAATGCCTTTAAAGAATTTGTTTTTTGTTTAAATCCAAATTACAAAGTGCCTTCCCAAGAAAGTTTAAGATCTCTTTTAACTGATTTATATTGAGAAAAAGTTGAACTTTTAAAGTCAAAGATATTATCAATTAAACTTACATCTATTACTACCAATGATTGAATGTCCTGTCAAAACTATTGTTACATATCAGCAACTGCACATTTCATTTGACATGACAAAAACCAGTTTCATCAGTTTTTGTTGAGAAATTTTTTGCTTAGGATATCTATAAATGGGCGCCATGATGCAGATAATTTAAAAAAGGTTTTGCTGAAAATCAAAATTCAAAGTGGATGATAAAATAATGATTGAAGTAACCGACAGCACCAGTAATGTATGCAATCGTCTAAATTCTTTTAAAGTTAGTTAAAACATTCAACCAATAAGATGCACGGGGCATGTTTTGCAATTAGTATTAAAACATGTCATAGGTTTAGTTCAAGAAGGTGAAAATGATAGTTTTTCTAAATTCTTTTTCATTTCAAAAAATTGTTATATCTTTCAATCATTCCCAACTTGATGATTTATTAGAAGAAAGTCAAATGTGTCGAGGTTTCGAAAGAAATCACATCTTTCATTTGATTCAAGATGTAAAAACTCTTCAATCAAGTGTTTTAATTTCGTGCGATACTTATGCAACATGCTCTTTAATTATTCCAAGTATAAAGTACCTTAAGAAGCTAAATAAGAAAAAAGGTGAAATCCCTCTTTAAGTCGTGCTATTAAAATTGAATTTGTTAGAGTCTTTATAAATTTACATAGATTCATATGAATAATTCATATGAGAATAGTTCGTTTTTATTATGAGCCACTTTTTTGGATCCAAATTATAAAAGTTTTGATTTTTTGAAAAGAGATTTGCCAGATTTTTATCTGATAAATAAAATTTTGTGAAATAGTTCCAGTTAAAAAGGTGACAATTGAATCAAAAAAGTTTAAGTTATCATTTGACAATGAAGATGATGATTCCGAAAATGATTGTGATAAAAATCATTTTTTAGTTTAGATTTAAAAAAAGAAATCAGTGATTATATAAAATTGTCAGTTCATGAGCAAAATGTTTTACACTTTTGGTATCAAAATCAACATATATTTCCAATGTTGTATCATATTTTAACAGTGATTTTATGTACACCTGCTACTAGTGCACCAAGTGAGCATCTTTTCTCTGACGCATTAAACAATTTGTATGCAGAATAACAACTGAATGTTTTCAAATGTTGGTGTTTTTGTACAAAATTTTTTTTTTAATTTAACATTTATTAAATGAAATATGGAAGTATCTTTTTATAATTACTTTTAAATTTATTTTATTGTTCTTAAATAAATACTCTTAAATTTAGTATTTGAACTCGTTTGTGTTTTGTCAATTGAGCTAGTTGCATCTTGAATAAACATTTTAAAAAACAAATTATATCGTTGTTTTTTTCATCTATATATTATATTCAACAAAGAATAGGGCGGAACTAGTTAAGCAACTTTTACTAAATCGAACAGATCTCCTGAACATTGTGAGTAATTACAATTTTTTTTTTAAATAGAAAGCTAATTTAACCTGGGGCCAATTCTATAATAACAATTAAAAGAAGTTATCAAATTCAAACAGTTCAAACAATTTTTAGGTAAATTTTTTTTTTGTAAAAACATAATTTTTTTAATTAATTACTTTAACATTAAAAAATGCATGAACAATGCATTTCCTTGCAATTTGATGAATATTTAGTCATCGCTATAAAACATAAGGAAATATTATGTCATTAAAATGATGAGTTGTTTTAATAATTGTTATGGCAACACTAGGCATTTTTTTACATTCTAGTCTTTTGTGCTGTAAAAACTGTGAGTAGAATTACAAAAGGAGTTCATAAAAGACATTGTGCAAAAAGAAGAAAGAAGGGGGTCTAGATAAAAGGGATACGGGGCAAGAAGGTTTGTCAGAAAAAGAAGTCGCTTGATAATTTACTTTTTTTTTTAATTTTAATGACATGGAAAAATGTAAACCTGTGTTTTTATAAAGTTATCTTTAAAGAATAGAGTAAAAGCAGTAGAATGAAACAGAGGGTAGAATGAAATAGTTATGACAATCTTTATCCCTTTTTTCAAAATTTAGTATGCTATTTCCGGTTAAAAATTAAGAGTTAAAAAATGGAAACGGTTAACTATTTATTTGCTTAATAAATAGGGTTTTTATTAAATGATTATGTCTAAAATAAACAATGAATTTTTATAAATTCTTTGACAAATCGTTCACGCAATAAAGCTGCTCAATCATTTAGTTAAATAGTAGTAACTCTTTATGGCATGTCAGTAGCATAAATAAAACGATTAGCATTAGTTTAAACGCAAATATGTCTTTCGCCATACATTATTTTTATATTAAAAAAACTGTACAAAAATTAGTGCCTAAATGGTCCAAACAATGCTGTATATACAATATCTCCGTACGGATGGATAAAAGGTAAGGAATTTATGCAGTGGCTTACCAGCCTGAACATTTCAGCCATTAAAAAACCCTGATAAATAGTTTAGTCAATTTGTTGAAAATTAGTTTAATCAAATAATTATTTAAATAAATGAATCGAACTTTGGTTATCCAATTATTGGTACTCGTATTTTAGTCGTAGATGGGCACTTGACACATGCTACCTATCAAGTTGTACTCATTTGTATCTAAAGCAATATCTTGTTAACTTGCTTGCCTATTTGTCACATATTCTGCAGACACTAGATGTCAGTGTTTATTGCTATGTCAAAAAAGTTTGGTGCAAATTACTTTAAGAGTTTTATGTAGAGACGAAGTTCAGCAGTTTATCAAAAGAATGTTTAGTAAACTGCAAGCAAAATTTTTTAGCTCTAATGAAGTTTTACACTCACGCAAATAGTCACTTCAAAATACTAGTTTGTTTCCACTCAACATCAAGAAAATTGATTAATCTAAATTGCAAATTGCTAATACGTTTGAAACGCTTTAATCTCAGCTCAAGCTCATCTCAACCACCAGAATTTATGCAAGTGCCACCACCACCAGCACTACTAGTTGCGCTATCTCAGCTACTGCCTTCTGAATTAACCAACAACTTCTAACATTAGCATACGTTGTATAGCTCCAGCTAAAATCAAATCCACTGTCCACTTGCCTCTAACTAACCTTCAATACTATAAAAAGTTGAAAAACAATTGCAATTGAACCAATCGCTTTCCTCAGCTTTACTGCAAATCTAAAATGAAAAGATGTAGACATGCCAAGATGCAAAGGGAAGTTTCTCAATAAATATGATATATTCAAAAGATTGAAAGATGCTAACAGCAAAAAGGCAGCAGAGCCAACTAGGAAACAACGTAAGCTTGACTTTGATGATGTACAGCAGATAAATCAATAAACAACAGCGACAGCAGCAATATAAGTCAAGTGTAAAAATTGGCTTATTGTTTTGAGCGAAGCTTCAGCAAGTCAAAACAGTGAATGGTATCAGTGCGAAAATTCAGATTACAAGGTTTGTCTTTGTCAAATATGTGTTCCAGAGCAATATACAAAAGGCACCAAGTTTTATTGCACTTTAAAGTGTAGATAAGTGTAGTAACCTCTTAAAGACTCAACATCATCACATAGATAAAAATGTTTTCTTTATTAATTGGTGGTTTTTTTTGTTGTTATTATTGGTTGTTTTTTAATTGTTATCATTTGTTGTATTTTTTAATTAAATATTCTTTTAATTACTCATCAGTATACATATTTCATTTTCCCCATATATGATCTTAGAATGAAATAAATTCTTTAAATTTCTTTAAGAATTTATTAAAAAAGTTTGATTTTTATATATTTAAATACACCTAGAAATACATTAAAGTACATCAAAAATATTACATTTTGTATTTTTCAAGTAAGTAAAAAGTCATAATATTTCTGCTTCATAAAACAACCACAGCTATTTAATAAAATGTTTTCATTATCCAACAGTTAGATACTATGCAATACATTTTGTATTGTTAACATTATTCAATGATTTAAATTATGGATATTACATTTTAAAATGTGGATATCAAGCTATCTTTATAAATTTTGCAAGTCTCACTTACCAACCAACAACTATTGAGGGAGTGGACACAACAATAAATATTAATTAAAAACATACAAACACAACAATAAATATTTTTAAAAACATAATTGGGGTATTGTAATTGGGTTCGAAGTGAAGACTGGTGATATTTCGCGCCATTAGTTAGGAAAGATGTGTTAATTTCCTATTTAAATGCTCTTCCATGGTGCTCTTCAACAAGATAGTTAGGTCTTCTTGGGGGATCTAAAAATTAAAAATTAAAAAATTTTAGTTTGACTAAAAAGTTAGTTGACTATTTGTAGTTAGACTAATTAATTAGTTGACTAGTTTTAGTTAACTAAAATGCTAGTTGGCTGGTTTTAGTTAGACTAAAATATTAGTCAGGTAAATTTAGTCAGACTAAAAAGTTATTTAATAGGGTTAGCCAACTAAAAAGTTAGTCAGTTGGACTAAAAAGTTAGCCGGCTAATTGTAGTTAAACTAAAACTAACCTTAACTCCCACCTTAACTTAACACCCCAAATAGCTGCAACATTATGCAATATGTTGAAGTGAAATTAACCTGCCCTAATACATATACTTTAGTAAGTAAGCTCTGATTAAATACTTGTGTTTGCTTTGATTAAGTTTAGCCAAATATAATTAATCTTTTTTTTTATGCTTTATTTTGACATATTGAAGTCAAAATAATAATGGCTTTTTGATCTTTTAGTTTAGTGATCTTCTGCTTTGTTGCTGCGAGTCAACTATTGGTAAATTAAGAGTTCGCCAAATCATGGATCTGATTGGTCTTCATATTGTTCAAGATGATTCACTTCCAGAAAACTCTTTCAGAATCCAGAGTCGACAGCGTATACTTGATTTGATTGCTAACACACTTGAAGAAAAAGAAGAATGGGTCTCAGCAATTAAAAATGCTGTTGATGATATTGACAATAAGAGAGGTTAGTTACCAGGGTTAAATAAATCATTTTATAATCAATATAAGTTTTATATATAAATAATTTTTTATAATCAATAACCTTGTAAATACATTTTAGTTTTAAAATAGGTTTTATTTGTGTTAACATTTGATACATATTTTGTTGAAATAATTTTAGGTACTTTGATTTGCAAAGCATTAGAAAATGATGAAGGAATTAATAATGATATTGTTGGTCAGAAAGCTCCATTGTGGGTTAAAGATGAGGATGTAACAATGTGTATGTTATGTACCTTAAAATTTGGGCTTATATACAGAAAGCACCATTGTCGTGGTTGCGGAAAAGTATGTAAAGTTCTTGATAATATTTCTTTATGACAACAAGGAGATCTCTTTAATTTTCTATATTTAATTTTTATTTTAAAAACAAGTTCACTTTTTCAAAGCAAGAGAGGAGTCCCATCAAGTTTTTGTTTTCACACCTTTCTTTTAACTTTTTTGACGCTTAACAATTTTTGATTGCATATTTTAAAGTAACGCATTGAAATTAAACCTAATTTGAAACCATGTTAAAAATCATTTTGTCTTTTTTTTATAAAATATTTATAAAATATCTTTAAATTAAAGAATATTGTTATAAAAAAGTTGTTATCAATAAAATTTAGATTAAAGTTTAAAATGTTTTTAGATTAAAGTTTAAAATGTTTTAAAGATAAAATTTTGTTATTTTAAAAAACTTATTTAAAATATTATTTATTTCTTAAAACATTCTTAACACACAACTTTATTGTTTTGTGTTTGCTTTCTCACAATTTAGTTGTTTTTTTTTTTTTTGTTTTTTTTTAAGGGGCAATTGTTGGAAAAAAAATTGTAAACAATTTTTATTTTAACATTTTTGCTGAACAAAATCTTGGCCTACTACTCATTAAATAGTTAATTATTTCTAATTCTAAGATCAATCTAAAAACTAATCATCTAAGATTAATCTAAAAACTTAATGATAATAAAAAAACTTACATATGAAGTTTACTAAAAAAATTCTTTTGTATAATTTGCCTACAGGCTTGATTATAATTTATCTGGCAATCCCTCTATACTGTTATAAGTACATTAAGCACTTTGATATATTAGCACTTTATCTTTAATAGTATCAATATAAGGGCAAGTCTGTAATTCCACCTCTTTTGTATGGTTCAGACTTTGTCACCTCACCTAAAGACAAAGCTGAATTGTTTGCTAAGAACTTTCATCAATATCATCTCTTGACTCCACTAGTTGCGTTCTACCTGATATAGCCGTCAAACAGGTTGATCCATTGCTCAACATCCGTATCACTCCAGCTTTTGTATCTAAAGTGATTTCCTGCTTAGACTCTTCTACAGCTTACGGCCCGGACAACATACCTGTTATAGTCTTGCAGAAGTGTTCTCCGGAACTGTTGTCTATCCTTTCAAAACTTTTCAACAAGTGCTTATCAGAGTCTTGTTTTCCAGGCTGCTGGAAAGCAGCATCTGTTATCCTTATTTTTAAAAATTCTGGAGAGCGATCTGATTCGTCTAACTATCGCCCCATTAGTCTTCCTCCTATCATAAGCAAGCTTTTTGAATCTTTATTTAACAAGCATTTAATCTCTCATCTTGAATCTAATAACTTACTTTCTGATCACCAATATGGATTTCGATCTTCTCATTCTATGGCTGATTTGCTAACAGTATTAATCAATAGGTTTTATCGCGCATTAGATAAAGGGGGAGAGGTTAAGGCCATTGCTCTTGACATTTCTAAAGCGTTTGATAAAGTTTGGCATGCTGATCTTCTCCATAAGCTTTCTTTTTATGGTGTATCTGGAAACATCTTTAAGATTATTGAATCCTTCCTTTCCAATTGTAGTATAAAAGTTGTCCTCGATGGACAGCACTCTTCTTCTTATTCTGTAACCTTAGGGGTTCCTCAAGGTTCAATTCTTGGCCCTATACTATTTTTAATTTACATTAACGATCTTCCAGATATTCTCATATCTAAGGTGGCATTGTTCGCTGATGATACTATCATTTATTCTTGCCACGATAAGAAGCCAACTCCCTCTGATTCCTTTCAGGAGGCATTTGAGCTTGAAAAGGATCTCACTTCTGCTACAGCATGGGGCTCACAGTGGCTAGTGAACTTTAATTCAGATAAAACTCTTTTTTTTTTGACCAATCGTTATCGCAATAATTTAAACCTTTCTATATTTATAAATGGTAATGTACTCGATAAGTCATCTATCCTTCATCTTCTAGGATTAACTCCTACTTCTGATCTTCCTTGGAAACCTTATATCAAATCCTTTGCAAAATTAGCATCTGCTAAATTTGCAACGGATTTGATAAAAGGTTTCCAAGGAAGGAAATTTGATATAAGGTTTCCATCTCTTTATCAAGCTCAACACTTTCTTACACTGGATTCTATTTTCTATCTCTTCAAATCTCAAATTCGGCCTTGTATGGAATACTGTTGCCATATCTGGGTCGGATCTTCTAATGATGCCCTTTTTCTTTTAGACAAGGTGCAAAAATGCATTGTAAACATAGTTGGACCTGCTCTTGCAGCCAACCTTCAACCTTTGTCACATCGTCATAATGTTGCTTCTCTTTCTCTTTTCTATAAATACTATAATGGGCACTGCTCTAAAGACCTAGCGTCTCTTGTGTCATCTACTAAAATTCATTCTTGTGTTACTCATCATTCAAGTCTCATTCTTTTTCTGTTACTGTTCCTAAGTGCTCCAAAAACTCTTATTCGTCTAGTTTTTTTCCTCGAACATCAGTTCTTGGGAATTCGCTACCTTCATCTTGCTTTCCTGATTCATATAATTTGCAATTTTTTAAGTCATCTGTCAATCGTTATCTTGTTCTACAATCTTCATCTTTTTTCTTCCAGTAACTTTTAACTCTAATTAGTGGTTGCTTGCAGCCTTGTTGGAAGCAAAGATGTTTAAAAAAAAAAAAACTTTCGTAACGGAAAGAAAAAACTTTATTTTCTTGAAACTATAAATTAAATTTGTTAAAAAGAATTTTCTTTAACATGTTCGGAAGTTTTAAAAGTTAAAAAAAAAAAAGATGTATATAAAAAAAAAATTTGAATTAAATTTAATTAAGTAAATTTAAATTTATTATTATTTTTAATAAATTTAATTTGAATGTAAGAAAATAAATTTAAAATTAAAAGATTTTAAAAAAGGGAAAGTAGAAAAAAATTATTTAATTACCTAGAAAACACTTGTTTGATCTGATTTTTAAATTTTTAGGTGGTTTGTGATAAGTGTTCAAACTATCGCTCAGTTCTTGCATATGCTGGTAATCAACTTCAGAGATTATGTCATTGTTGTTTTAAAAAATTGAATCCAAACATTAACCTGGAATCATTCCCTGATGACAAAGAATTAGATCTTTCTAGACAATCTAATGCATTCTCAGGTAATTTTACTTTTTTTAAAAGTACTTATACAGTTATGAAACTTTTTTTCCACCAACTTTTTTCCATATAATTATAAACATATTATACATATATGTATGTATGTATGTATGTATGTATGTATGTATGTATGTATGTATGTATGTATGTATGTATGTATGTATGTATGTATGTATGTATGTATGTATGTATGTATGTATGTATGTATGTATTTATATGTATATGTATGTGTATATATATATATATATATATATATATATATATATATATATATATATATATATATATATATATATATATATATATATATACATTCATATATACATACATATATGAGTGAAGCTGATGATTTCATATGTATATATTCATCATCAGCTTCTTCATCCTGCTTGTTCTAACTATATAGTCATTGACTGTTAATTTAGGTAGAATATACAAGGGAGTACCTCTACATCGACTGAGGGTTTGGATTGGGACAGCAATTATTTTTTTATCAATCTGAAAAATCACACATTTTAAGATATTAAAGAAAAAAAGCACACATCTTATGAATTTTTTTTTTTTTTTAACATCTTCACTTCCAACAAGGCTGCAAGCAACCACTATAAGAGTTGGAAGTTACTGGAAGAGGAAAGACTAAATCTGTAGAGCAAGATAACGATTGACTGATGACTTAAAAGATTGCAAATTATATGAATCAGGAAAGCAAGATGAAGGAAGCGAATTCCAAAGAACTGATGTTCGAGGAAAAAAACTAGAAGAATAGGAGTTTTTGAAGCACTTAGGAACAGTCACAGAAAAAGGATGAGACTTAATTGAATGGCGAGTAACACGAGAATGAATTTTAGTAGATGGCACAAGGGACGCTAGCTCTTTAGAGCAGTGCCCATTATAGTATTTGTAGAAAAGAGAAAGAGAAGCAACATTACGACGATGTGACAAAGGTTGGAGATTGGCTGCCAGAGCAGGTCCAACTATGTTTACAATTCGTATTTGCACCTTGTCTAAAAGAGAAAGAGCATCATTAGAAGATCCGCCCCAGATGTGGCAACAGTATTCCATACAGGGACGGATTTGAGATTTATAGAGATAGAGAATAGAATCTGGAGTAAGAAAGTGTCGAGCTCGATAAAGAGATGCAACCTTAGCAGATGCTAATTTTGCAATGGATTTGATATACGGTTTAAAAGAAAGATCAGAAGTAAGAGTTAATCCTAGAAGATGAATGGTAGATGACTCATCTAGTACATTACCATTCATAAATATAGGAAGATCTAAATTATTATGATAACGATTGGCCGAATAAAATTGAGTTTTATCTGAATTAAAGTTCACCAGCCACTGTGAGCCCCATGCTGTAGCAGAAGTGAGATCCTTTTCAAGCTCAGATACCCCCTCCAAGCAATCAGAGAGTGTAGGCTTCTTATCATGACAAGAGTAAAAGGTAGTGTCGTCAGCGAATAATGCCACCTTAGATGTGAGAATATCTGGAAGATCGTTAATGTAAATTAAAAAGAGTATAGGGCCAAGGATTGAACCTTGAGGAACCCCTGAAGTTACAGGATGTGAAGAAGAGTGTTGTCCATCGAGGACAACTTTTATACTACGATTGGAAAGAAAGGACTCAATAATCTTAAAGACGTTACCAGCTACACCATAAGAAGAAAGCTTATGGAGAAGACCAGCATGCCAAACTTTATCAAAAGCTTTAGAAATGTCAAGTGCGATAGCCTTAACCTCTCCACCTCTATCTAATGCACGGTAAAATCTATCGGTTATTACTGTTAGCACATCAGCTGTAGAACGAGAAGACCGAAATCCATATTGATGATCAGAAAGTAAGTTATTTGATTCAAGATGCGAGATTAAGTGTTTGTTGATTAAAGATTCAAAAACCTTGCTTATGACAGGAAGAAGACTAATGGGACGGTAGTTAGATGAATCAGATCGCTCTCCGGAATTTTTGAAAATAGGGATAACAGATGCTGCTTTCCAGCATGATGGAAAACAAGACTCTGATAAGCACTTGTTAAATAGTTTAGAAAGTATGGATGAAAGCTCCGGAGAACACCTCTGCAAGACTACAACAGGAATGTTGTCAGGACCACAAGCTGTTGAAGAGTCTAAGCAGGAAATTACTTTAGATACAGAAGCTGAAGTGATGCGAATGTCAAGCAAGGGATCAACCTGTTTGACGGCTATGTCAGGTAAAACGCAACTAGTGGAATCAAGAGATGATATTGATGAAAAGTTCTTAGCAAACAATTCAGCTTTGTCTTTAGGTGAGGTGACAAAGTCTGAACCATACAAGAGAGAAGGAATAACAGATTTGCCCTTATTATTGATACTGTTAAAGATTCTCCAGAAGTCTCGAGAGCCTAATTTTTGTGATGAGATACGAGATTTAATGACCTGGGAATAGCGAGCTTTGGCGTCAGACAAAACCTTTTTACAATGGTTTCTGGCGATAGTGAACAGATGTCTGTTTTCTGGAGAATTGTTTTGCTGATAGATATGGAAGTAACGGTTTCGATTAGAAATTGCTGCAGCGCAATGTGAGGAAAACCAAGGAGAAGAGTGAGGCTTGACCTGGAATCGTCGAGAGGGAATAAAAGATTCCATGCCAGCCTGAATCCACGAAGTTATGTAAGAAGCACATTTGTCAGCAGGAAGACGAAAGATTTCTACCCAAGGGCCATCACGAAGAAAATCACGGAAAGAGTCCCAGTCAGCTTTAAGGTAGTTGTATGTGGTACGATGATAGGGGGATTCTGATGAAGTAGAAGAATTTGATAATAGTTTTAGAGAGATCAAACCGTGATCAGAAGTACCTAAGGGTAAATGTGGAGAAATTGAGCACTGACTAGGATCCAAAACAAGACATAAGTCGAGTAGAGAAGGTAAATGATTAGGGTTGTCTGGAAAACGAGTTGGAAAGTTGACTATTTGAGTTAGAGATTGAGAAAGGCAAAAGTTGAGGGCCTTAACGCCAGCAGAGTCACTGACACTAGAGCCAAGCCAATCGGTGTGATGGGCATTAAAGTCACCAACAACGACGATATTGGCCGATGGATAAAGAGAGAGGGCTTGGTCAATTTGATCAGAAATAACATTAAGAATAGTGCAATCTTGGGATGAAGGAGAGTGATATAGAACAAAGAGAAAGGCGATAGAGTGAAGTTGTGCTAAGCGAAAGCACATAGATGAATAGTCTGTAGATTCAAACCTAGTTTCACGACAAATGGGTGAGTTCTTACGAATGTAGATGCCCAGGCCAAGCATGTGATTATTGGAGTCTTTACGAATTAAAGGAAGATAACCATCAACACTAAGATCACAAGATGGGACAGCCAAACTCAAATTAGTCTCACAAAGAGCAAGTAGGTCTGGTGAACTTTGCAAGAGATAAGACTCAACAGAAGAAAAGTTACTTCGAAGACCACGAATATTAGTAAATGATAGGTTTAGAGAACTTGGTGATGATGATGGTTTTTTGTGTTTTTTAGTTTTAGGTACTTTAGTCATTTTAAATTTATAAAGAACTTGACTCAAGTATAGATAGTACTCAGTACACTATTTAACAACTAAGCAATAGCCTCATTACTATTAATAAACCCTAAGCCATAACAAAGGGCTCCAAATGTGGCCTCTGCAATGCACACCAAAAGTACAAACAGGGACACCATCCATGCGCAACATGGCACTGTTAGTACTCTGATATTTTTCGGCTGTTGATGGAATCAGCCTCTCTGAGAGCTACCACAGAGTTCGGGAAACCTGACTACCAGCCGGCCTCAGAACCATAAAACTGAGTTTTAGAGCTGTACCCTCATTAGGAGATAATAGAATGAGTTGCCCAGTCATAAAAATAGAGACACAAGCAATACCCACGCATTGAGTCAAGAAGATCCAGCGTTCAACATCCTAAACTGGAAACAATGTATTAAAAATACATCTGCGCCAGCCTAATAGATGAGGAAGGGGTGCGAGGCTGGTCAACAGATAGAATCTGTTTACCCCTTAAACCCCACAAAATATTTTAAAATATTTTAAATTAAACCCCACAAAATATTTTAGGAAATTGCATCCTTAGACTGTATATATTCTTATATCAACCCTAGGAATTGGGTTGGCATTCGGCAATGCCGACCTAACTGCCGACCATAAAGTGTTTGAGGTTGGCAAATAATTGCCAACCTTGTTTCTATGTTTTATGGTGAGACCTTTGCATCAAATTTTTTTGCTGACCTCTTAAAGATTGAGGTCAGACCTCGTTTTTATTAATTCCTAGGGCTGTTATATAATATATATATATATATATATATATATATATATATACATATATATACATATATATATATATATATATATATATATATATATATATATATATATATATATATATATATATATATATATATATATATATATATATATGTATATATATGTATATGTATATATATATGTATATGTATATATATATGTATATATTCATGTACATGTATATGTATATATATATATACATATGTATTTATATATGTATATATATATATATATGTATATGTGTATATATATATATACATATATATATATATATATATGTATATATAACCCTCGGAATTAGGAAAAATGAGCAATAATTTGCTGACCTCAATGTTTTAGAGGTTGGCATCAGGTCAGCAAAAATTTTTTGATACAAAGGTGTGATCGTAAAACATAGAAACCAGCTTGGCAATTTTTTGGCAAGGACTAACTGCCATGTTGGCAGTTAGTCCTTGGCCACTTACTCTAAAAAAACCATTTCACCTGAGTCGTTTTTTATCATTTTTTGATGTTTAAACAAGCCTAAAGAAATCATTTAAACGATAAGATAAAAGAAGTAATTAATGCTATAAAAACCTTTTAAAAGTTTTAATAATGATTACATAAAAAAGTTAGCATGAAATTTAATATTCTTGCTATTTACAAATGTATATGTATTTGCAAAAAAGTAAATATATTTACAAAAAAATAAATATATTTATAAAAAAGTAAATATATTTACAAAATCTTCAGAAAAAACAAAGAAAATTTTTTTTTTACTGACCTAACTTTTCCATCAAAAATGTTAATTAAAAGAAAAAAAAGGATGTTATAGGCGCATAAAAAAAGAAATCATAAAATAAACATAATAAACATATAAATTTTTTTATTTATTAGCTTGCAAGTGCAAGAATATTTAATTAGACAATTTCTCATAACAAACAATAGCAAAAATAATTACCCAATTTAAAAAAATAAAATAAAAGCAAAACAAAAAATTATTAGCTAAAAAATACTATGCATTAAATTTTTTAAAATATTTGCGCCACTTTTGATATTTTAAAGTTTGTTTGTTTTGTTATCAATCATTAGATTGATTTTATCAAAAAAATGAAAAAACATTAATTATTACAAACTTTAAACAACATCTTAAAATGAGTTTTATTTTTCAAAAAATAATAGATAAGAAAATTAATATTTTATAATAGTTACATCAGCTTTATATATTTAACAGATTGTACAATATCAAAAAAGTAAAAACAGAAATTTCCTTATAATTAAGAAACATTTTAAATTTTGATCAAAAAAGTTAAATTAAATTTTAAAAAATTAGTTTTTTTTTTTTTTTTTTCAGTTTTTCTGCCTCTATTTTTTTACAAAAAATTAAATTCCTTGTAAACATGTTATAACATATAACACTACGTCAAAAATATTCAAAGTGTACGTTTTACTCTTTTGTCTTGAGGCAAATGCAACAATATATTTTTTAATAAATGGTACTTAGAAACTCAAATCTTTGTCACAAAAAAAAGTGCTGGTAAAGTAATTAACTTGAGTTTTTTTCTTTGCAACAAATAATAAGTTTTTTTAATCAATAGTGTTTTTGTTTTTTTAAAATATATCTTTAAAACATGCATGGAGTGTTGCTACTTCGATTATCTTATAGCCTGCTGCTACATGGAAGTGCTACTACATCGACTATCTTGTAAGATAGTTGATACAGTAGTACTCTGGTAGCATCAGGTTATAATATAGTATGCAGCAGTACCTTGTAGCATCAGGCTATAAGTTATAGCCTGCTGCTACTGGGAATGCTGCTACATTAACTATCTTATAGTCTGCTGTTACAAGGAAGTACTATTTCATGGTAGTCAAAAAGTTTCTTCCATAAACTGTAGTTTTAAAGAGGGCGCTAATAAACCAGACCAGAAAAAGTTTAAAAAATTTAACAAAGTTTTTTTTTTCTTAAATGATAGATTGTTAGCACAAACCAAACCCTCAGTCGATGTAGCAGCACTTCCTTGTAGCAGCAGGCTATGAGATAGTTGTTGCAGCAGCACTCCATTATAGCAGCAAGCTATAAAATCAACACTCCTTACATGTTTCACTTATTTTTCACTCAATGTAACAATACTCCTCGCATATTTTAAAAATATTAATAAACAATAAAAAAGCACAAGCAAAAATACTAATGATTAAAAAAACTTTCTAGTCATTGTTATTGTGGTTTTTAAAAGTATGATCAAGTGTAATGTACCTTAGCATTTTTTTAATTGTTTTAAAAAATAGAAGATTGTAGCAACATCCAAAAACATATACTTTTAGTATTTAAGTATTAAACAAAACATGTTTTTATATCAAATCTTTTTATAATTTAGATATGAGTGGATTTTTGTTTTGGAAAGCACCTGGTAAAAGTTGGTCAAAGGAATGGGTAGTTCTTTCTGACTATGTCCTATATATACAAAAAAAAAAACAAGTAAATTTTATTTTTGCTTTTTTAAATAAAATAAAAAATTCTATACTTTTCGTGTTGTTAAAAAAAAATGTCTAAAGTAGAGGTTTTCAGATTATATTATATAATAATCTAAAAAATTATATATGTAATATATTCTTACATATTAATTAGAATATTATTACATATTAATATATGTAATAATATTCCTCTGAAACAGTATAGCAAAATAAAATAAAACTCATTGTTACATTCAAATCCCCCAAGATGGTGTTCGCTTGTTTAGGAAAATAAGCCAGATAAACAAAAAAAGGAAATTGCCAACAATTTGTAGCTCTTGGGTACGCAAAATCAATTGTTTACAATTGGATTAAGTCTATTGAAACTAATGGATCATGGGAAAGAAAAATATCTTTTGGCAGACCTGTTCTAATTGCATCAAAAGCTAACATTCGATATATTAAAAAAAATTTGATATTGCTGTTCCCAAAATTGCATTGTCAGTGAGCTAAAATGTCATTAATGTTTCAATGATTTCAAATTTTAATGATTCAAAGATTTTAAATAAAAGAACTAACATCAAATATTATAAAAATCTTCTAAAATCAGAAAAATTAAGCAAGGCCACGTATTTTGGCCAGACACGTACGTATTTTGGCTCATTATGCAAAAAGCGTGGTAAATTACCTAAATGAGCAAAAAATCAATTTTATACCAAGATCGATCAATCATGCAACTGTCACTAAAGCACAGCCAATAGAAAACTTTTGAAGAAACTTAAAAAATAAAGTTTATGAAGGCGATTGGATAGCAAAGAATCTTGATGAGTTGAAATCTAGAATTATCTACTGTCTTGGCAAAATGGATCTTGAGTTTGCACAAAAAGCATATTTTGGGTTTTAGGAAAAGACTTGACCATATAAGATATTTATTTTTTTTCCTCTTTAAATACTAAAAAAAGATATATATTTTTATTATTCTTTAGTTTTGTGTTTTAAATAAAAAATTTTGTTTCGAAAATAAGGCTTTCTTTTTAGTCCAAAAACTAATTTATAACCAATTGTATCTAAAAAAAAATTTTCTTTGATAATCAGATGCAGAAAGACAGAATTTATAAAAAGTCTCAAATGATCTTCCTCCAAACTTTTTGTAAAACCTTTTATCCTCCAAACCTTTTATAAAAGGTTTGGAGGGCTAGTCCAATAGTCCTTCACCAGTCCATTAAAATCCCAAATTGATGCTGATCCTAAACTCTCAAGAAAAGATTTATGTTGATTTTCAGGAAATTCTTCTTTGATAAAAAAGTCATAAAAAGAGAAAGTTAGAAGAATTTTTTTGATTTTTTTTTAAATCACTAAAATTTATTTAGACAAAAACATAATTTTTGTTGCAAAAAACAAGCATAAAAAAATCAAATAAAATTGCATAATAGTCTGATTTTTATGTTTAACTAATATTTTGATTGCTACTTTCAACATTTTATTTGTCCGATAGTTTTTTTTCTTTTTTCCAAGAAAAGTTGTTAAATTCTTCATTATCGATTTATTAACTCTTTTATTGCTGCTGACATCATTCTTTCATGACATCATTCTTTCATACAACATTTTCAGTCTTCTTATAAACTTTTTTTATTTTCTGCTACCAAAAAATTTCTCTCCTAATAACTAAATTAAAAGTAAAAAATGAATGCACTAAACATTATCAGAGAGTATTGTGAGGCTGTGCTAGCAGCCATAGCACAGTTGTTAGAATGTTTGCTTTAGAAGAAAGAGATCCAGTTTTTAATGATCGGTTTATATTTGCGTCATTGGTAAGAAAGAAGAACGTTCAGTCTTCTTAGGGCTAAGTTTGCTTCTAATTTACAAAATGAAAAATAAATTTTATTTTACTTCCAATATTATGCTTTGCATATGCATATTTTGTTTAAATTTAGTAAAAATTCAGCCTACAGTCTAAATTTTGATGAATCCAGATTTATGGTTTAGTTCTGGCTATGACTGAATTGTTTATACAAAAAGTTTATACAAAGCTGGGTGCTTATTTAAAACTTTTGCATAACTCTTGCGTAGCTAAGCAAAAGTTATGAAAAACTTACATAAACTATTTTTTTGCATAACTATTTGGTATTCACAACTTTTTTACAGCATTTGCGTAAAGTTAAGGTTATGCATGAGTTATGCAAAACTTAGGCAAAAACTTACGCCAAAGGGCAAAGTGACCGAACAGTGAATACATCTTTTTTTAAAGGCAAGGCTTACATTTACTTAGACTAAAATTATTTTGTTGTTGGTATTGCTAAATTAAAAAATATAGCAAAAACATATAGGGGCTATTCAAATAATAAGGGACATTCTTATGTAGGTGGTGGGGGTGAGGGGTGTTTGAAAGTGTAACCAAATATCACATGGGAGAGGGGGTGGTTAGCCACAGTGTGACATGACAACATTTTTTAATTTTAAATTCTAATCAAAGTGAAGTAGTAAACTTTTAGCAAAAAGTTACAAACTCTAACATATTTGTTTTAAAAAATGTCACGTCACGAAGAGGGCGGGAAGGAATTGTTTAAAATGTCACCTATACAAAGAAGGGGGGGGGGTGGTTGTCAAAAAATAATAACAAAAAAATGTCTTGTATTATTTGAATACCCCCATAGAGCATATAGGTGCAGTTACTTTTAAAAGTAATAGCATATATAGCATAAACATTTTTTCAATCTATTTTGAGTATCTATCAGCAAAATAATCAATAATTGAAAATGGGAAAATTGACCAAATATAAGTCTGTTGGTTTTTTAAATGAGATAATAATTATGAACAAAATGCTACACATCTATTATTTTAAATATAAACATTACAAGCACTCAATAAGAACTAATAGGGGCATATTTACCCGAATCCAAATGGGTAATATAAATTGTATTATCCTGGACTTGTATGAGATAATTATTTTCTATTTTTAATATAAAAAGAAAAAGAAAAACAACAAGAAATAAATATTTTAAGGCATTTTTTTTGCACCCATACCAGTCCTATGGTACAAAAAAAGGTCTGGATTCACCCCTGCTCAGATCATGCAACTTGTCTTGTATAGCTTCAGGAAATTAAAACAAAATACTTTATTTCAGCATAACATTTTACATTCATAAAATAATGCAAGCGCTAAACTAAAGTATTTTGTTTTAACCTCTTGTTTTAACATTCTCACTTCCCATACCCTAGGGGTATAAGAAAACATCATAATAATTGTCAACTTTACTTTTCAGTGGTCTTGTTTTATCACATAATTGACTTGAATCAACAACACATTTATTTGCTATAGGAATGACAGTTTCATTCAATAAAGAAATTGCTTCAATAAATTCAACAAATACTATTGATTGCAGGGTTGGCAAAAAAACCCAACCCAAAAAAACCCAACCCAAAAAAACCCAAAAAAACCCAACAAAACCCAAAAAAACCCAAAATATATTTGGGTTTTTTTAAAAATGACCTATTTTACAACTGATAATTCTGATTTTAACACTTATAAATGCTTTATTATCACCAAGTACAACCTTTATACTGTAATTACTCTTGTAAACACTGTATTTATATACATAATGGTCTTTAGGATATACCCAAAATCGATCAATCTGTTTTTGTAGCAAGTTAGTTATTTATTATTTTTTTAAAACATTTAGCAAGTTATTATAAATGTTATTGAAATATGTATTAAAACATTAAATTAGTTAAATACTTATAAAGGAAATAAAAATCATTCTATTAACTAAATTTCAAGACATTACTAGTTATTTAGTATCTTTATTCTCCTCTCGAATGTCTGTATTCTTTTATATTGGTATTTGATTTTTTATTTTTTAAAGCTTATGTTGTTAACTGCAAAAAAAAAAAAAAATACAAAGCTACAAGCAAAATACTATATATAAAAATTAAACTTTATTTACAGTTTAGAAATGGAAAGTTGTCAGGCAAAAAAAAATGCTACAGTTTACTAGATTTGTCCTTCAGTGCATACAACTTTAAAACTTAAAAAAAATTAAGTTATGTGCAAGCAAGCTTGCAACATGTTTGCTCATTCAATGAGAGAACATGTTGAAAACTTGTATGCATTTCACAAAGACAAGATTTGTCGGTAAAAATGACACTCGTGCTCATCTATCTTTTGAATATTTAACAGGTTTTGAACATTTTGCATCAGCTACAAGTTTACAACATGTACCACCAACAGGGGTGACTATGAACAGCGGGTTGAAAATTAACATCAGTATCAAGTTGCTAAAAGGTGAAGAAACACACACAATAGAGCTATATAATGTGTTACTTTGATTCAGTTTGCAATTTGCATTGCAAAACTGAGCCGGTAAAACATCTTCAAGGAAAAAAAAAACTTGGTGGCGAAGACACTGTAATGGTTCTTTACAAATTTACTTTATATATATTTAGAAACAAAGTTTAGGCAAAAATCCATTTTTTGCCAGTCCAGTTGATCAGGCTGATAACTTTTCCAAGAAGCTAGACAGTGTAATGTTCTGATAAAAAAAATGTAGTGATTAGGCTAGCAGTTTTCTTCTATGATACAAAAATGTTTAAAAAGTGTTCATAGTCATCCTGATTGATAATAACTTATAAGGTTGCAACATCATGTTGCAAACTTGTTGATTACATGTTGTAAACTTGTGCAAAGTAGTTTTTGAACATGTTAGTAAAAAAAACTAGTTTGCAACATTTATATTGTCTTACCAACTTTGAATAACTCAATTGTCATAATTTTTACACAGATTTTTTTTTTGTCAAAGATGTTCTGAACATGTTTTTAATTTAGAGCAATTAATAAACATCATTTATAGTTGATGGAGTCCCTTTTTGCACTATAGGTAAAATGTGCTAGTAGACTAGTAGTAAAACATTTGGCTCGCAACCAGAAGGTTGGGGTTCAAATTACTTCTGCTGAAATTACTGTCTCAATCTATTTCTCCACACAGCGCCTTTGTTTAAAAATTTTAGTTGTTAATGTTGTTTGTTAGTAAAAATGGTAATGTTAAGGATTGAGACAAAATATTTTTAAAAAATGAGTTGCTCCCTTGACTGAAATGGTCATTGGAGCAATAGATAGGTGAATTTATGAAATTAAAAAAAAAAATTATTGTACTCATACAATTATAAAAATTTGGTATTTTGATCGATTTTTAAAAAAACCCAAAAAACCCATAAAACCCAATAAAACCCAAAAAAACCCATTTGGGTTGGGTTTTTTTAAAAAACCCTGGGTTTTTTCCAACCCTGATTGATTGCATTCTAATTTATTTGAAATTATTTATAAACAAAATTCTAATTGTCAGAAATATAAGGAACCTTTTGAAAACTTAAACAAAGGTTCAACAACTTTTCCGAATCACATTATAAAAAATGCATTATTGCTGTGTGTCTATCTAGTCGATATAAATCTACATTCGTAACTTCAATTTGTACAGTTTCAGTTTTATTAACATAATTATTAAAAGTTGATTTTAAATTAAAATCCACTTATTTTTTGTTAGTTTTTTTCAGTGATATTTTAGATTGAGAATTTATGGTACCATTTTTGTGCGAATAAAAACATGATTTTTATATGTGATGGATAAAATAAAGTTAATTCTGTGAATCAGACACGTGCAGTATGAAAAAATTTGACAGCAAGGATTGATTAAATTGCAACAACAAAAATTGTTTTCAAGAAACCAAATACATTACAATCTAATGGCTAGAAGCAGTGTGTGTTGTCATCTGTCATCTACAGGCTGTTATCTCAAGATGTATATTGTAATACTATTTTCAACAGCAACAGATAATAATTCTACTGAGTTGTGAAAAGCACTATCACTCCATTTGGACTAACTGGTGTATCAAGTAATTTTACATGAAGTTCCTGCTCTTTGCAATAACAAACTACAACAATGAGATTTTATATAGAAATACAAATCAAAAAATCTGACTAAAACAATTTAAACTATTACAGAATATGTTTATTATTTGCAATTTAAAATATTATTTACCAAGAAATTAGGCTTTAAAAAACAATGCTCTTTTTTTAATAATTTAAATTATCCATAGATATTATAAATATCTCTTGCTAATTGAAATAACTAACAACGGAGCATTATTATTCAAAAAAATCTTAACATTGTTAATACCTCTGGATAATTGAAATCATAGAAAAACAGCATCATTATTCAAAGTAAGTTTAATATTTAGGTTATAATACTTTGTTACTTCAATAGCCTGATTACTCAGAGATAGTTTTAGCATTGATGTATTTTAAAATAGCCATGTTCTCATTTATAAAAAAAAAAAATGATATTTGAAAAACTAATGAATTAATTTTTTTTGTAAATATTGTATCTATATTAGCACACATATTTCCTCTCTCTTACATAAAGAGAGAGACTCTCTATGCTAGTTATGCAAGTTAAAGTATATACTTCAATAATATTATTGTATATATTTTAGGCCTCGGCGGGAATAAATGAGCACGAAAGCTAAGAAAAGCTCTCCTAAAACGAATTTGGGGAGCTGTTTAGTCATTTAAATTAGCACTCTTTTTTAATTTTAATTTTTTTTGCAACAACGATGCCTTTTAAAAAGTATTTGCAGTATATTATGCAATTAATTTTTTTTTTAATGACATTTTGGTTTTTATTTTAGTTACAACGATAATTATACTTTCATGAGAAAAATTATACTTTTGCGAGAGCCGTAAATTGGTCCCGTAAACCGTTTTAGAAGAGTGTGGGCGAAAGCGAGAGCTGAAGTTCTCGCTTCCCGCCAAGGCCTGATATTTTATATAGTATAGTATAGACAGTATAGTATAGATACAACCATAAGTTTATATAGTATGGATTCATCATATAGTTTTAATGTATGACAATAACAAGTTATTTTAACTTATTTAATACGTTGTTGCCATAGTACAAAACTATGTGATATATCCATACTATGGTCGCTCTCCTTGTTTTAGCTAGGTAATGAGTGAATCATCCATTAAATAGATTGTATGTATATCTTTTTACCTTAAATTTAAGGTGAAAACAAGTTTATCTAATACATCTATATTTTTGGTAAATATATTACTATTTTTGTTGCTGTTTAAAAAAAAGTTATATTTGTGTTATTTAAATAAATAACTTAACGTATAGCAGTACAAAATTAATACAAAATTATATTTTATTGGCAATAACAAACAAAATCTGAAATCTTTTACAATAATAAAAGCGCCATTTTTTTAGTATTATTAGATGATCCAAACTTAAGTCAGAAAATAGCAGACGTAACTTTTCTTGCGTAAAGTTCGCTGAGCACTTTTTAGGAAAATGTTGTGAATACCGTTTTTTCGCAAGTAAAAACTTAAGAATTTCGTTACACAAGATTTGTAAATATGATTTTGCGTAACTTTGAACTTATGCAAAACTTACGTAAACCTTACGCAAATTTTGAATTTACGAAAGTTTTGTTAATCCGCACCCAGATGCATTGAATGTCAAAGAAACTTCTAATTAAGTCTTTTAGCAAGAGACTATTAAAAAAAAGCTTTTTCTTATTTATTTGTTAAATATTTTATTTTATGAGGCGTAATATTAAATATAAATATTGAAAAATAAATATTTTATTTTGCAAGTTACATCCATTAGGTTTTTTTAATTTTATTTGGCAACAGGTTTATCGGTATAGCTTTTAAAATATCTTTTTAAATCTAACATCAAATTAAACCCATATAAAACAAAATTTAGGCATGTAAGTTAGTGTGTGTGTTTGTGTCTTAAATAAAAGTTAATAAGTTTTTGTTTCTAAATTATTATACTTTTGTTGAATTTTTATGAATTTCTTTCGCCCTTATGAAGTTTCAATTATTGATTTTTTTAATTATATCAATAGGATATTAAACCTTGGTTTACACTACCAGTTCCTGGATATAAAGTAGAAGAAGTATTATCGGTAGGTTCCTGAAATTTTTTAATAGTTTTTAGTTGTAAAAATGTTAATTTTTTTTTTCCTCTTACAATTTTAGATAGATGAAATTGATGCACCCCATCCGCACTGTATAACGCTTCATAAAGAAAATAAAAAAGAATTAACGTATTATCTTTGTTCTGATAAAAAAGAAGTCATTAATAAGTAAGAATAAGTTATGTTAATTGTTAATTTCAACTTAATAACATGATGTGAATATTATTATATATTAAATTTGTCTTCGTACATTTATGCGTGTGTGTGTGTGTGTGAGAGAGAGTGTGTGTTTGTGTGTGTGTGAGAGAGAGAGGGAGAGAGAGAGAGAGAGAGAGAGAGAGAGAGAGAGAGAGAGAGAGAGAGAGAGAGAGAGAGATGGTCGGTAAATTACAATGCTTTTTGCATGAAAAAATTATCTAAATATTTTCTAAAAATAATTTCTTGTTATATAGTTCAATTATTTTAATATTTTCAATTATTTTAGATGGAAAAATCATCTTTGCTACGCTATCCGACTCGAGAAACTTACGGAAAAAGAAGATGTTTAAAGTTATCATGTTTTATAAAACAAACAAATGAAATGAAAAAGAAGAAATAATGAGATATTTAAATGTTTTGTAATTTTTCAAATATTTTAACATGTAAGTATTTTTTTTTTTTTAAATAATGAATTATACATATATTTTTCTTTTGAAAGCATTATATATTTCAATGGCGAAATCACTTTCTTGTGTTTTTATTTTTTATTTATATTTTTCAATTTTTTTCAAAAGTATTTTTGTAAAGCTTTAAAAAAAGTCTCTATTTTATATATATATATATTTGTTTTTATATAATAAATTAATTTACTTTGTATACAAAATTTTTAAATATTTTGTTCTCCAACTTTGCTAAAGAAAACTCAAGCTGCGAGAAGTGCAAATTTTTTTGTCTTTAACATATAAAACTTTACAAATTTTTGTACAGGTCAAAAGTAAAAATATTTTTTTAGGACGCACATATATGCGAATTTTTAAATTGCGAAGGTTCGTACATCAAAACAGGTCGCAGTAGCAAGCATAAAACTTAAATGTAAGTAAAGATAAAACAACAGAGCAATTTTTAAGCCTCTAGCGAGCTTATATATTTGCAAACTTGTTGCAGAAACTTGTTAACGCGCAAATCTGCATAAACATGAACTCATGTTTATGCAGATTTGAACGATTTTACAAACCCGACAAATTTTTTTTCTCATTTTTTCAGTGTTTTGTGACAAAATCATTTTTAGATCGTCTTGGAGTACCTTAAAAAGATACTCGAAGACGATCTAAAAATGATTTTGTCACAAGGGGAAAGGGGTTTATATACTATAAACTATAACTTATTTGCAAGTATTAAGGTGTAGTATTAGGTTGTATATGATAAGGTGTAAGTATTAGGTTTATATACTATAAACTATAACTTATTTGCAAGTATTAAGGTAGTATAGTAGTTAAAATTGAAAAATTCATTTTCTCAAAAATACATTTTTTAACTAATATAACTGTTGTACAATCGAAATCTTTTCTTGCTTTATAAAAATTTTTTTAGAATATACCTCTAAAGTTGCTTTTAAATTGTTCGATATAATTTTTTATCCATAGCCACGCTTTATTTACCAGGTTGCTACGGATTTTTTCAATCAAAGTTATATAAAATAATGCAATAACAACATTTTTAAGCTAACTTTTTATAAGGAAAATTGTTAATCAGCAGTTACTTCTTGTTTATTGACTCGATTTACACGCATACATAGCGCGTGAGCACGCTTTATTGCTATTTTATGCTCTTTGCAAGTTCACTAATAGTCTATACAACAGTCAATATTTGGATATCTTATTTTAATAAAAGTGTAATGGGTCGATCAAAAAGAAAACAATTTTCTAAATTATTATACCAAAAGAAAAAATCGAAGTTTCATGGAAACAGATATACAAAAATCTGCAAAAATAATGAAACCACAGCTATACCTTTAGTTGAAAGCATACCATGTTCATCATCCTACAAGAAGTTATTTAACAAAGACGTTGTAAAGGAACCTCAACAGATAAATGAAGACTTTAACTTTATCATGAGCTTTCATTTAATTAAAAAAGCAATAATGGTCCTTAAATGCCCAGAATGTAACAAAATTATTAAGTTTGCAGTTTGATTCTTTAAAAAAATATGGCCAAAGTATTGAACTAAAAATTTGTTGCAGTGATTGTGAATGGGAAACGATTTTTTTTCACCTTCTAAAATGGATAAAAAGATAGTGTTGGACGTAAACGCTTTGACATAAACACTCGTACAATAATTGCATTTCGTGAAATGGGTATGGGATTTTCAGCAATAGAAACTTTTTTTGGGATTATGAACATGCAACCTCTAATAAACCTCTAATAGATTGCACATACTGTTAGATGTCTATCAAAGTTTGGTTGATAAAAGCATGACAAATTCAGCAGAAGAATTATTATCAATCAATGAAACATCTAAAGATATTACTTGTGGGTTTGATGGATTGTGGCAGAAACGTGGATACACTTCAAACAATAGATTAGTAACAGCTGTTGCTGTAAAAAATGGTAAATGTATTGATTTTGAAATAGAAACAAAAACTTGTAAGTTGTGTTTTATATGGGAGTTAAAAAAAAAACACACATGAAGAATATAATGACTTTCACTGCTTACATTATCAAAAGTGCAAAATCAGTCATACTGGTTCAGCCTCTTCTATGGAATCAAGTGGTACAATAAAAATATTTTTGTGTTCTGAAAAAAAAAAAAAAATTAAGATATACAACGTTTCTAGGAGATGGAGATAGCAGTTCATATGTTAATATTGTTTCTGTAAAACTATATCGAGATAATGAAATAAAAAAAGCAGAGTGCATTGGGTATATTCAAAAACGTGTTGGTACTAGATTAAGAAATTTAAAAAAACAAAATAAAGAAATTTTATGTGATGGCAAAAAGTTAGGAGGAGCAGGTCGCCTAACAGAAAATGTTATAAATACATTGCAAAATTATTATGGTAAGGCAATAAATGCAAAATATTGGAAATTTATATGGTATGAAAAAGAGTGTTGCAGCTGTACTTTTTCACTGTTCTGAAAGTTGTGATGGCGAAACGCGTCATCAGTTGTTCTGTTTACGTACCAAAGATTCTTGGTGCAAACTCCAGTCTGACAAACTGACTGGCAAGATGTCATATAAGGATAATTTTTTTATTGCTGCTGCTATCTGCAACGCCATCAAACCAATATTATAGACCTTGTTTCCGATAAACTTCTTGAAAAATGTTTACATGGAAAAAGGCAGAATCCCAATAAGTCTTTAAATCAGTTGATATGGAAGCGATGCCCAAAAGATGCATTTATTGAAAGAACTGCTCTTAGTATAGGAGTAGCCTCAGCTGTGCTAAATTTTAATGAAGGGCAGCAGTTTTTAAATAAGTTGTTTAATTATTACCTTATTAATATTACTTGGAATGGAATTCCGTATAAATGCACAAAATTACTGTTTACGTAAAGACAATAAACGAATCAGATAAACAAGAAAAACATCGATAAATCAGATAATCAGATAAATCAGAAAAACAATGTAGTACTAAAGCAAAATCAAGAAGAAAAAAGTTAAGAGCAATAAAGAAAGGTTTTTGTGACCAAAATAAAGAACTGGAAGGTGTAACTTATAAAAGTGGGGAATTTTGAACTATTTTTATCTTCTTCTTTTTTTTAAATTCTAACCTGTAGTTTTACCTTGTATATCAGGATTTTTTATCCATAAATTTAATACTTGTCCAACTCACTTAACGAAGTGCATAAATGAGAATGTAAACCATTCGTCTTGACTCTCCATATAATATTTTTCAGGTCGCCTAAGGTTAGCCCTCAATTTCAGGGTTCTTTAATTAGTAGGTAGTTTATGTACAGTATTTTTAGTTTATAAAAGGTTTATTTTCATTTCTTTTAAAATTTACATTAAAAATAAAATATATGATAAAATGTAATACAATAATTTTAATATAGTCAAGTCAATAATCAAAAAAGACATAAATATACAATTAGTTAAAAACTGTTCTAAGCTCTCATAAAATGGAAAAAAATATTTAAAAGTATTTTTTTAAAGTTAACAAGAGGATTTATTTATTAATTAATAAAAAATTATTGATGAATTGCTGCCGTGGCGCATTTGTTAGAGTTCTGGTTCAGAACCAAGAAGTCCGAGGTTCAATGCCAGCTTCGGCCACATTTAAGACAAGTAAATAAGTAAATAAGGTAAATAAGTATATATGGTGAATGTTTTTCAGCGGTGCTCTGTGATAAAACGTAAGGATTTCTTGGAGCACAATAGTGACTTCAAAAAACATCAATCCTGGGCATCGCACAAGATCTGCTAGGTCTGCCCTTTGGCTTATCACAGCTACTTTAGTGCAAGAAATGAGACCTAGATGAAAGCTGCTGCCAAATATATGCTACAACACTTGTGCTTCTAACCACTGACACTGAATCAATTAAAAGAGTTGTTTAATGATTTTTGCTGTTTCTATATTACGACGTTAGAATTATCTTGTTCTATCTCCACTTTCTGAAAAAATTGAGTTAATGATAGTGTTGTGTTCCTCAAAATAATGACTTTCTACTAAATTGAAATCTAAGTTATAAGTAAAAAAGTTGCGGAAAAAACAAAAAAAAGTTTATACGCTATCTCCTAAAGTTTTTATTTTTTAAATCGTTTTATCTCAAAACTAAAAAATGTGGAGATAGAACAAGATAATTCTAACGTCGCGATATTTAGGAGGGAGCCAAGAAATCATGCCACAGACTGCTCTTTTTGTATGATGCCATCCCTATCATATCATTCCTATAGAAAAAAATGTTCAAAAAGAAGAAATAGGCAGCCTATCACGATATCTCATCTAAAATTTAAATCTTATAGAAAAGAACTCCTCATTTCTAAACCACTTGCAGACTCTGGAATCTGATGGAGAATTAGATCTATTAAATGAACCTTCAAAATTACAAGATCTTAATTTTATTTCTTAAATACTCTCAGTGTGACACAGGATTTCTCAGAATGAATTGCTCAGAAAGTTGTCTGATCAGAGATCTTGATTAATAGTCAGAGAATAATTATTTTTAGATTTATCTTAAATTTTGTCTCAAGCTTTATTGGTGTCAGATATAATTATGCATAAAGATTATGAGTTAGAGACCTATATATCTCGTATACATTTAACATTTTCATGTACCTTATTGACGACTCTACGTGTAGAGTCGTCAATAAGGTACATAAAATTGTTAAATGTATTTGAACATGCATGCTCAAATCCATTTTTCTGTATATAATTTTGCCAGCATTCATTTGCACATGTATTATTATTAAAATGTTTTCTTTTTATAAATGTATACTCTAGGGTGATGCTATTTTTTATCTTCTCATGAAACTTTTTCTATAACATCAATAAATTTCTATAACAAGAATATTCTAAGAACAGTTTATCAAAAATTAATTAAATATCTTTAATAAACTGGTCTTAGAATACTTTAAATAATTTAAAATTAGGTCAAAAAAAAAAAGTTTTTTTTATAAAAATAAGAAAAAAATACTTATAAGAATTTTTTTAGTATAATTATCCTTTATTTAGGAGAACATTTATATCGTTTTTAAATTAGATGAAGTTAATAGTTATTATATTATAAATTTAGCTTAAGTATCAT